TATATACACTGAAGGTTTTTATATTGCAGTTTGTTCACATATAATTTGTTTGATTTTTGATTGATCACACTTTATCTATTTGCATCAGTAGATTTCAGTTATAATACATATTTTTCTAAAAATTGTTAAGTTTTCATCCTCACACTAAAACTAAGGTTTTTACGGAGCGATTTGTTCATATATCATTTGCCTGATTTATTTATTTATTTTTTCCTAAAAATGTTTTTCTGTCGACTGTATTTTCTGATTCACGGATTGATTTAAGAGATCCTCCAAAATCCCCCCAGTAAAACTTTTAACTATATCAGCAAAATTAAACAAGAATTTGGAACCTGTCTTTATCCAATTTTTAGACTTATTTTCTGGAGAATGTATGCAAATTAGTGTATATTTAAACATCTCACTTCTAATACCTGTAACATAATTTTTTTTTTTTTTTTTGCATTTCTTAATGAAATCAGCTAGGTAAGTATGGTGATTTCAATTAGTTTTTACCTTATTAAAGCAGACATCTATGGAGCAAGAAACTGGAATAACCATTAAAAGACACAGTTTTGAAACCATCATCACTACAAGATATGAACAGTATATGTTCAAAAGATACAAGAAACATGTCTGATTGAATAGAAAAAAAAGTTGACCTAAAGTTACATAACATAGGTCAGTTATTCCTAGTCCGTCGAACCTCATAACTACACCATTCATCATTCTGCTGTCAAAAACCATATTATTACTTCGATGAGCATTCAAAAGTAGCCATGTACAGCTTTTAGTAATTAACTATAGTTTTCAAGCAACATGTAAATCTGAAGTATTTCGTCATTGTAGGACTCTTAAAAATGTCAAATGGGCTTACATTGTTTCCCGTCTGCTGTTGTTGACGTCACACTACTGAAGGTTTGAGACTGTGTTCATGTTCATCAGTTCATAACAAGATGACAGATTTCATTTCACATACAGTATGCCTCACTGAGCCACTGAGCTGAATAGGAATGCAAACATAAAACTGAAACTAACCTGCAAGAAAGGTTGATATGCAGTTAGTGTTTGTGTAGACAGTCCTCCTCAAGCCTGAAGCTCCCAGCACGCACTCTTTAATCAAACACACCTGATTCAACTCACCAGGATTATTAGAGACTCCAAGACCTGAAATAGGTCAGAAAATGGAAAGAATTCATAAAAAAATAAAAAACTTAATGTATAAACTAATTAAAACTAGATGCATAAAATGAAATCTGTTACTTGAAATTAAATAAAATATAAGAAAACGTATTTTATTTCAGTAAGTTGCCAAGGCAACGTTTCTCATTTTATTTAGTTTAACTTGATGTCCTAAAATAACTCAAACTAAAACTGAAATATATAAACCTATACAGACATAAAAAAAAGCTATAATAAAAATGAAAAAACAATACAATTGTAAAAAATATAAAAATAGTCAAAAAAGAGTAAACATAAAAAAAAGTAAATAAAATATATCGCCATCATTGCATTTTTAATGAATGTTGTAATACTGAAGAAGAAGAGAAAACATCACCAGACATATTCCTCCTTCAATAGTGTTTAAAAGCAAAGCATGAAGCTGGCTGATGAAAGAGCAGAATGAGCAGAGCTGGAATATAGCAGCCGTTTCATTTGTGTCACATGTTATCATCACTATACTTACAGTTTTTATGAGTTAATTTTCATGGAAATTGGTTAAGTGGGACAAGAGTCATTTAAACCAATGTTTCAAAGGAATGAGCGTGTGATAGTTAGATGTGTGTGGTGTGTGAGCAGCTGTTGTGAAGCTCTGCAAAGCTGTTACGTAAAGCTGCAGAGGAGGCTGAGAGGAGACGCATCTCCACATCCTACACACGCTGAAGTTTGAGCTGGAGGAGAAGATACTGCCGTGATCTACACTCACGCAAGAGAGAATCTCACGAAGCATGTCTGTAATATATTGCACCCCAAGAAATTGCATTTTGTCGACTGAATGAAGCCTAATTTCGTGACCTTTAAGACACTGTTACATTATCTGATGATAGTTAAGCCAAAAAAAGTATTTAAAAAAAAACCCAGTTTAATTATTTATTAAAAGTAAATACATTATATTACATTATTTGATGACAATTAAGCAGGAAAAAAATGTAAAAACAAAAACAAGACTTAAAAAGTAATTTTAATTATTTAAATTAATAGAACAAAATAAATTAACAGAATAAAATTAAATATATAAAATATAAGTGATAATTATTATTATAATAATTATAATTTATTATAATTATAAATTGTAATTCTCATGAAATTATCATTACTAATATATATATATATATATATTATTATTATTATTATTTTCCTGTAAAACATTTAATCCTAACCATAAATTATTAAATTAATAGAATAAAAATACATTGATAAAATGTATATTTTTTTAAATATTTATTATTAACAATAATAATTATGATTCATTATATTATATTATATGAATAATTCTAATTAATAATTATAATAAATGATAACTATAACAATTATATATTAAGATTAATTAAATCAACATTTGCATCATGGTAGTAATTTTTTTTTTTTTTTTTGCTGATTTAAACAAACAAAAAATCTGGATGCATGACAATTACCTCAGAGAATAATTAATATTCTAAAATAGTATGACATGTGTCATAATATGTTGACTTCTTGTGTCATAAATTCGACTTTTTAATCACATAATTTCAATTTTTTTAACTCATAATTAGGATTTTTCCAAAGCATGACGTTTTTGGGGGGGCAGACAAAAAAAAATACTTTTACATTTATCACACACACACACACACACTGTCAATATGTGGGAATGTACTCACAATGAAAATCTGCTGTTTAATCAAATTATTTTAACGATGTGTGAAGAACACCTTTTCTTGAAATATGAATATCTTGAAATATGAACTATAATTGTCTATAAACCCTATTCAGAATCATCAAGCTACTGTATATACAAAAATTCAGTAAGAAAAATGAAACAATGTTAAAAAACAGCAAACAGTTAATAACACAGAACTCTGGCAAATTGCTTTCAAAGTCATGAAGTAAACAGCATGAGTCAGTCTACAATCGTTTGAGTCAGTCTATTACAACGTTGACAAGAATTACACTTCTTCTGAATGTTTTGGCCTAATTTTAGACAGTCTCTGGGTTGTGTGGGGTCAGTTATAATTATGTGCGTTTATTTTGGCCTGGAGCGTTCGTGTGGGTGGGCAGACGGACCTTAGAGACCTAAACACGGCCTTACAGCAGTGTCAGCAGAGGCTCTGTCCAGATGAATAATGCCACTCTATTACTCATACATATATATTGGTCATATATGCATATTTATAGAATGTGCAAACAAGACGTCCTTCCAGGTTACAGACACGCGTTGTGAAAGTTAAGTGAGCTTGCGGTCAGACGACTCAATGAGTCACGAAATCAATGCAAATATTAACACAAAAGCGTGACCGTCAGGAGTGAAGTCATATGCTACAGGAAAAAACAAACATAAACATTTCATCTATTTATAAATATGGTTTCCACAATCAGTAGCTAGTTGCAATTGCATTTAATAATTGTTTATAGGAATATATTTAGCTGAAAATGTCTTTACAAATGGAAATGTTGATTTATTTATTTTATTTTTTTTAGTATAGAAACCAAACTTTGAAAATTAATGAGCCAATACTATCAAAATATACATAATTTAATTTTTCTAGGATTTTTAGAAGAGTTTTTTTTTTTTTTTAAAGAAGTATAACAATTAACTTTAGACTGTATTTCATGTATCAACAGGTTTGCATACCCCCTATAATGGGACAACAAGCCCCACTGTAGTTGAGGTCTCTTTTAGTCAAGACTTTAAGGTTTGTTTAAAAAACAAATTGACTTTAATCAATTTATAAATAAACCCACCCATTCTCTATAATAAAAATGTGACAACTAGCCCCGGCTGCATCTATAGTCAATTATTATATAAAGTTGTTATTTCTGAAATATGAGTTGTGACTCTGCTGTGTCCTGTAGGTGGTGCATTTACCCTCGTGTGCTCGGGGACGTGTCCTCAGTGGACATGTCCACCACAGTTCTGGGCCAGAGAGTCAGTATGCCCATCTGTGTGGCAGCTACTGCTATGCAGAGAATGGCACACCCCGACGGAGAGACGGCCACTGCGAGAGGTCAGACACCAGTAACTTACTCTGGAGCTACAAGCTTCACAGTGACTGCAATTACTATAACTGACCACATGGCAGCACCATTAGTCTTTCCTACATTCTACAGTATATCCTGCTCCCAATCACACTCAAATTACCCTTACAAAAATGGATCATGGCTACCATAGTATGAGCTAATACTATAGTTTCAGTGTGGCTATAGTATGGAAGTCCATTTCTGCCACATAAGAAAAAATAATTACATAAAAAGTCAGAATTATAAGATTAAAAGTTAAAATTATGACATACTAAGTCATAATTATAAAAATAAAAAGTCGAAATTATTGTCACAATTAAAAGCTGAAATTATGTCATAGTCAATTATGAGATAAAAATGTAAAATGATGACACTTATGACACATAATTGTCATAATTATGACATACTAATGGTGAGTTCACACCAGATGCAAAGTGAATATGCGCATCGCGTCACTCGCACTAAATTACTTGCGGGATGTTTTTCGAGTCACTTGCGCGAATAAAAACAGCGCGATCAACCATGGTGGCGATAACTACAATCGCTGTTTTGTACCTGTGTTGATTACTATTATTTTTATTATTGATAGCAGCATCTCTGTAGCCATGCTAATAAAATGCAACTACCACTACAACTGATTTTAATTGTTTTCTATGCTCCAGACCTATATAATAACAGACGGCTGCAATAATGCTCTCTTCTATTGTCTGATTCAACTGGACGTGTCAAGAAACTCTTCGCTGATTGGCTTGCGCGGGAACACATCAGGCGAATTTTCCGCTCGAGTTGAATTTTTTGAACTTGCGCGGAAGACGCGATTGAGGCGAATAACGTGCGTTCGCGGCAAACGTGTCGCGCATTTCACGTCATTCGCGTCGCCCGGCGCGAATTCGCCTCTATTCGCATCTTTGCGTTGACTTTGTATAGGTGCATCTCAATAAATTAGAATGTCGTGGAAAAGTTCATTTCTTTCAGTAATTCAACTCAAATTGTGAAACTCGTGTATTAAATAAATTCAATGCACACAGACTGAAGTAGTTTAAGTCTTTGGTTCTTTTAATTGTGATGATTTTGGCTCACATTTAACAAAAACCCACCAATTCACTATCTCAACAAATTAGAATATGGTGACATGCCAATCAGCTAATCAACTCAAAACACCTGCAAAGGTTTCCTGAGCCTTCAAAATGGTCTCTCAGTTTGGTTCACTAAGCGTAATTAAAGCAAAAGGAGCCCCTACCAAGTATTGAGTACATGTACAGTAAATGAACATACTTTCCAGAAGGCCAACAATTCACTAAAACTGTTTTTTTTATTGGTCTTATTAAGTATTCTAATTTGTTGAGATAGTGAATTGGTGGGTTTTTGTTAAATGTGAGCCAAAATCATCACAATTAAAATAACCAAAGACTTAAACTACTTCAGTCTGTGTGCATTGAATTTATTTAATACATTTATTTGAATTACTGAAATAAATGAACTTTTCCACGACATTCTAATTTATTGAGATGCACCTGTATGTAAGCTACTCGTGCGAATAATTACATTTGCGTCTGGTGTGAACTGGTGATTAGTCATAATCCAGAAATATAAAATGAGATAAAAGCCAAAAAGATGAAAGTCATAAATATGACAAAAAGACAAAGTCATAATTATGAGATAAAAGTTTGACATAAAATTATGACATATACAGTAGAAAAAGAAAAAAGAAAAAATGAGATAATGCTTGAAATTATTACATAAAAAGTCAAAGTTATGACACACAAAGTCATGAGATAAGAGGTCAGAATTTTAACACTCTAAAGTCATAATTATGAAATAAAAAATGTAAAATTAGATAAAAGTTGAAATTATGACCTAAAATAGTAATAATTATGACATACCAAGTCAGAATTATGAGATAAAAAGTCAATTGAGATTTAAAAAGTTGAGATTATATCATTGTCATAATTATGAGATAAAAAAAGTCAAAATGAAGACATAAATTCATAATTACGAGATAAAGTTGAAATTTCAACATGCCAAGTCAATTATGAGATAAAAAGTTGAAATGATGACAAAAAGTCATAATGAGATAAAATTACTAAATTATGAGATTAAAAACTCAAAATTATGACATACTAAGTCATTATATAATTTTGACTTTTTATTCCAAAACTTTGACTTTTTAATCTCATATTTTCAATTTATGTCATATTTCGCACGGTTGTTTCTTTTGTGGCTGAAATGGACTTCCATAATGTTGTACTACTGTCAGTAGTAGTGAATATCAAATTACCACAGTTTTATTCTGGAACCTGTATATAGTGTTTAGGCAGAAACTTGTTAGCATGGCACTTTTTGAGGCATCTATTATCTCGGAGCAGATCCCACACACTTTAGATGACATAATTAATGGATCAGCCCTGTTTGATGGTTCGAACCCAAGACCATTCAGTGTCTTGTAAGCCACAGCACCCTTATGACAATCACCCTGCTGTTCTGACTGGTCCTCTGGTCTCTTCCCATCCACAGCCTGCCTGTCCTGTGACACGGGGATGATGCTGAGCTCATGGGCCACCTCCACCATAGAGGAAGCAGCGGAGGCCGCACCTGGGGCCGTGCGCTGGATGCAGCTGTACATTTATAAAGACAGAGCGCTGACTCAGTCTCTGGTCAGGAGGGCCGAGGAGGCCGGGTATAAGGGTATCTTTGTCACAGTGGACACACCTTATCTTGGCAGGCGACGTGATGACGTGCGCAACCGATTTAAGCTGCCCTCTCATTTGAGGTAAACGCTGAGACAACCACACGTTACGTGACGTGTGTGCGTGCCAGCAGCGTGCTTTACAGACATCGCTGGCTGCATTTGTAAACTCACAAACACACTGTGAATTGTTCATCTGATCTGAAATCAGAATATATACAGAGTCATCTGATTATATGCTGATTTCAGTGCAAACTTCAGCAGTAGCATATGACGGGCAGGACGTGTTATTATGTTGTCACACTGTCGCTGTTCCTGCCGCTCTGGAAAGTTTCTATGACTTTTGCACCAAAGATTCATAATTATGTGGTCAGATCTATAATTATATATTCCAGTTTTACACCTTAGCAATTGCATATCACTGAAAACCACCCTGAATCATTTAACAACTGCTTAGCAACACCTTATCCATTCAGAACATCTTAGCAACTGCATATAAACGTTCTAACAACTACTTAGAACTCCCTAGCAACTGCACAGCAACATACTGTCAAAACATACTGACAACATCTGAGCATGTGGGAAAAGGTACATATACTGTATATCACATATACATTTAACTACCAAAAAGAGGTGATTTCATTGCAATTTTTACACAATCATGGGACATATTTTTTACAACTCATCCCTTAAGCAACACCTTAGTAACCACACAGTGCACTAACAGAGATTCAGAGCACTTACAAACCATATAGCAACACCCTGGCAGCTGCACAGTAACACCTTAGCAATCACATAATACGTTAACAGCAACTCAGAACATTTACAAACCACATAGCAACACCCTGGCAACCATTCACAACATGCTCATAACATTCTAACAGCGACTCAGAATGCTTAGAAACCAGACAGCAACACCCTAGCAACCATGTAAATCTCCCTAGCAAATGCCCTGTCATGCATTTATAAATTATATTGTTAGATCTACAACTTTACTCACCTTAGCAACTGCATATCAAATCCCTGGCAACCACTAAGAGCACCGTTGTAACTGCATAGCAACACCTTAGCAACCCCATAACATTCTAACAACAACTCAGAATGCTTATAAACCACATAGCAGCACCCTGGCAACCACTTAGAACTTAGCAACTACGTAACATTGTAACAGCACCTCAGAATGCTTAGAAACCACATAACAACAACCTGACAACTGCATAGCAACACCTTAGCAACCGCATAATGCTCTAACAGACTCTAGATGCTTTAATACTATAAAGGCATAAAACATTGCAATATCTACAATAAAGCAGCAACTTCATTTACATCTTTCTAGTCAAACAGATGCTGCATTGTAAACATTACAGTTTAGATTTAATGTATGATAAAGAAACCTCACAAGAACTATAAAGAAAAACTGATCATATTAACTCCTTTTACAATTCTCGTGAGGTTTCTTAATAAGCAGGGCCTCAGTTTTCTCACCCTCGTGGACAGATTATTTTACAGTTTTGTCGTCCTTTGAAAACCGAAGCGCTCACTGAAGAGCTTTATGTATTTATGGAAACAAATCTCTCTCGTACAGTAGATCACGCCGCTCGTGGGGATTCACACTCGCCGCTTCAGCTCCGTCAACACTCGCTACATTAGGCTTTTTATGTGGGGAAACTTTCAGATATCAGCAGTTCTACAGATACGCCAACAGCGGCCCGCTATAAAAATGCCCCCATGAAAGTAAAGCCTTCCTGCTCCGGATCCCACGAGGTGAATTACGACAATTAGAAATCCAAAAAAGTATCACGGCCTCACCGTATATATTTCAGCACAACTGCCTCCGTTTCCATCAGCAGTGACACAACATGAACTTCATCTCAACCCTCCCGGAGACTTTCGCTCGGCCCCACAAATCAAAGCGCAGCAGCGGCAACAAGGTGCCAATTGAGTGCGAGCTCTGCTGTTTGGATAAAACCCCAGCTCAGTTTTCATAAACTGACCAAAAACAACACTCGCAGGACTAACTCCATTTTGCACTTTCGATTTTTTCCCCCCAGGATGGCCAATTTCGACACCCCTGATTTAGCCTTCTCCTCAAAAGAGGGTTACGGGGAGGACATCGGCCTGGCGGTGTATGTAACTCAGGCCATAGATGCCACGGTGAAGTGGGACGACATCGCCTGGCTGAAGAGAATGACCTCGCTGCCTGTGCTGGTCAAAGGGGTTTTGACAGGTGAGCCATCCTGCCGTGTTTGGGGACTGGAGGAGCTGTAGTGTCATGTGTGCTTGTGTCCGAAACTGTGACTTCACAGGATTCAGACAGGTTTCAAATGAGATGCAATAAAATATATTTGTAATTTTATTAAAGTATTTAAATTAAATAAAAAAAATTATTAAATACAAAAATACAATATTGCACTAACATCATCTGTGGTTTTGTCTGAAAGCTGTCCAGACTTCCAGTGCACCATAAAATCACGTCTAAAGATCTAAAACAAATTAAAGTCAGCTTTTGAGACAATCAAACAAATATTTAGTGGCTATGTTTAAAATAAAATAAAATATGCATGTATTTGTTTTGTTTGTTTGTTTGTTTGCATTTCCAAAACCCAAGGTCACTTTATAAAGTTAGATAAAGGGGGAAAAATAAACAAATAATAAACATCCATAACAAAGTATATACTATAATAAAGTAAATATGATCAACTATAATATGAATAAAATAAAATAGAAAATAAAGTGAAAATATAACAAATATAAAATAAAAAACAATATGAAATAACAAAAAATATTAAAAACAATAAAAATATATAAAAAACAGACATTTCCATCAGACATCATTTCGATTCTTTCCATAAAATGCCAAACTTGCACGCATAGGATTGTGGGATATCTTAGGCACTGAAGGACAAACCTGTTCTGCCTGCAAAAAGAGGCCAAATAAATGCATGTTATGAAAACATTACATATTTAAAAAGTGAAAACTTACACTTGTACACTAGCTGACCTCAAAGCCAATAGACATGAAATAAAGCCATGAAGGTCCACTTTGGATTTCATTAAGTCTGTACGTAATGTCTTCTCTCTCTCAAACCGCCTCTCTTGCCTGCACCCTTAAAAATAAAGGTCTTATGGAGATTAGTAACATTCTTGATGTTGCATTATAGGTTTTTAAGATCATATTATTAATTAATGGAACAGTACAGTTTTTTTCCTAAAGAACTACAGAATTAAAGTTCTGACTCTAAATGGAACCTTTATGTTCAAGAATGTGGAATGCTCACCCCTCACTGATACAGAATGACACATTTGCATAACCTAATCAAAACAAAGCGGCCAGTCGACCCCGTCTGTCAGCGAGGGGCCGCTAATTAAAGATAATGTGCAATTTATCTCCCGAGAGGAAAAAGCAGTCAGTCTGTGAGCACTGAGGTTATCTCAGAAACGTCTAGAAGCTTTACTGCTGTTATTGTGTCTTCAGATAAACTTTTATCTTCTCTTTGGCTCTGGAAATGGCACATTCTGTAAATAAAAGAGTCAAAACACACACACACACACACACACACACACACACACACAATCTTTAGTAATTGGGGAACACCATTAGTTATTTTAGCTCATGTGTGGAACATACTTCTTCTTGAAAAGTGCATGCTTTCCTGTTGGCCTCGGCTGAAAGGAACACGGCATTTAATCATTTTCGGGATTTTTCCGAACAGAACAGACTTGGAGAAATTAAATTACACTATGTAAAGCTAATTTTTCACCTTTTCTGAAGTTGCTTTCCTGTGCAAAAATCAGCATCTTGATGCTATTTATGAGCAATAGTTTCCTAAATGAGTAAATGCAATAGCAACAGAAATGCTTGGAATAAAAGTTTTAAAGGAATAGTTCACCCAAAAATGAAAATCAGCTTACAGTTTACTCACCCTCAGGTCATCCAACATCTGGATGAGTTTGTTTCGTCATCAGATTTGGAGAAATGTAGCATTCCATCACGTATTCACCAATGGATCCAGTGAATGGGTGCCGTCAGAATGAGAGTCCAAACAGCTGATAAAAACATCACAATAATCCACAAGAAATCCACACCGCTTCAGTCCATCAGTTAACATCTTGAGAAGACAAAAGCTGCGTGTTTGTAAGAAACACATACATCATTAAGGTGTTTTAAACTTCAAACTGTTGCTAAAATACAAGTCCATAATACATAATAACGCTTCCTCCAGTGAAACAAGTTGTCTCATCTGAATCAGGAGAGAAATCTGCACAGATCAAGCTCTGTTTACAAGCCAAACCAGTCCAAAACAGCTCTATTGTGGCTGGATTTTGATGTGAGAGACAACAGGAGATGGACTTTTTCACTGAAGGAAGCATTATTTTGCATTACAGAATCGGATTTTAGTCGAAAGCAATGGTTTGAAGTTTAAAAGGTCTTAATGAAGGATTTGTTTCTTACAAACATGCAGCTTTTGTCTTCTCAAGATGTTAACTGATGGACTGGATTGGTGTGGATTATTGTGAAGTTTTTATCAGCTGTTTGGACTCTCACGGCACCCATTCACTGCAGAGGATCCATTGGTGAACAAGTGACAGAATGCAACATTTCTCCAAATCTAATGAAGAAAAACTCATCTACATCTTGGACGGCCTGAGGGTGAACACATTTTTGCATGAACTCTTCATTTAAATCCAGATAAAGGCAGCATTGCATACCATAATTGCAATGTAACATAGTTTCCTCCGTGCAAAAGTTTTTGGCTCCAAATTGTAGAATGAGAAAAGGCAAAACTGCTTCAGAAGAACCGCAGTAATTAATGTTCTGCTCATGGTGAATCTCGCCGTTTTAGCTGAAGATGCCAAAGAAGCGCTGAAGTATGGGGTGGATGGAATACTTGTGTCAAACCACGGAGCAAGACAGCTTGATGGAGTTCCAGCCACCGTAAGTGTCTGTTGAAGAAATGAGGCATTATTGTTCTCCAGAGACCTCCAACCCACAAGTCCTCTTTGCAAACTATCCTCTGCGGCCTGTAAATTGCATCTTTGATAGTGTGAAATACGGTCCCTGGTTTGCCGAAGTGGACGCCAAACAAAGGTTTGGATGCAACCTCAAGTTTTATGAGCGCATAGTGGTCTCCAAAACTGAAGAACGTCAACTGAGCGTGAAGAGCATTCTTAATATAGATACAGAGCGTTTTATGTTATGATCTATAATTAGTGCTGATGATAATTTATTGAAACTCTATCCTTCTAGAAGTTTCTGTGATAACCAGTTTTGGTGATACACTATACTGTAAGACAAGAAACATAAGAGTAAGTTTAGATACTGAAAATACATCGGTTTGGAATAATTCATATTTTTTATGTTTTTGAAACAAGCCTTTTCTGCTCACCAAGGCTGCATTTATTTGATCAAAAATACAGTAAAAACAGTAATATTGTGCAATATTTTTACCTTTTAAAATAGCTGTTCTCTATGTGAATATCTGTTAAAATGTAATTTATTTCTGTGATCAAAGTTGAATTTTCAGCATCATTACTCCAGTCTTCAGTGTCACATGATCTTCAGAAATCATTTGCCGAAGTGGACGCCAAACAAAGGTTTGGATGCAACCTCAAGTTTTATGAGCGCATAGTGGTCTCCAAAACTGAAGAACGTCAACTGAGCGTGAAGAGCGTTCTTAATATAGATACAGAGCGTTTTATGTTATGATCTATAATTAATGCTGATGATGATTTATTGAAACTCTATCCTTCTAGAAGTTTCTGTGATAACCAGTTTTGGTGATACACTATACTGTAAGACAAGAAACATAAGAGTAAGTTTAGATACTGAAAATACATCGGTTTGGAATAATTCATATTTTTTATGTTTTTGAAACAAGCCTTTTCTGCTCACCAAGGCTGCATTTATTTGATCAAAAATACAGTAAAAACAGTAATATTGTGCAATATTTTTACCTTTTAAAATAGCTGTTCTCTATGTGAATATCTGTTAAAATGTAATTTATTTCTGTGATCAAAGTTGAATTTTCAGCATCATTACTCCAGTCTTCAGTGTCACATGATCTTCAGAAATCATAATAATATGCCGATTTGCTGCTCAAGACACATTTCTGATTATTATCAGAAATAATGTGAAAGCTGTGAGACTTTTTTTTCATGATTCTTTGATGGAAGAACAGCATTCATTTGAAACAGAAATCTTTTGTAACATTATACATATATTTACTGTCACTTTTGATCAGTTTAATGCATGTTTACCCCACATTTTTGAATGGTAGTCTATTATAGTTTTCACAAAAATATGAAGCAGCACAACTGTTTTATTACATTGATAATAATCAGAAATGTTTCTTGAGCAGCAAATCAGCATATTTCTGAAGGATCATGTGACACCGAAGACTAATATCTGAAGAGTAATGATGCTGAAAATTCAGCTTTGATTATAGCAATTAATTACATTTGACTATATATTCACATAGAAAACAGTTATTTTAAATTGTAATATTTCACTGTTTTTACTGTATTTTTGATCAAATAAATGCAGCCTTGGTGAGCAGAAGAGACTTCTTTCAAAAACATTAAACATCTTAAATACTCCAAATGAGTGTATAACTGAGAATGCAGGGCAATCTTTGAGCAATAACATACAGTAATGTGATGGAGTATGTCAGTGCAGATTGACGCTCTGCCTGAGGTTGTGGAGGCTGTAGAAGGAAAGGTGGATGTCTTCATGGACGGAGGTGTTCGTAAGGGCACAGATGTGCTGAAGGCTCTGGCTCTGGGAGCAAAGGCAGTGTTTGTAGGGAGACCCATCCTGTGGGCACTCGCCTGCGAGGTGAGACACAGTTAATATTGAATTACTGGACATGCATGTTAGTTCTCAATGTCTAACCAGACATCAAACTTTCTGTCTTCAGGGTGACAAAGGAGTCAGCAATGTTCTCCAAATACTGCGAGAGGAACTTCACCTTGCATTGGCGCTGACAGGTATTTGTATTGGTGTTTACATGCAGTTTGAATTTTTTTTTTAAATAAAATAAAATTAAATAAAATTAAATAAAATTAAATAAAATAAAATAAAATAAAATAAAATAAAATTAAATTAAATTAAATTAAAATGTTAGTTCGTTATTTGAATTGATTTAAAGTAAAAAAAAAAGTATTTATTTTATAACAAAAAATTATTACAAGAAGGAGAAACTATATTGAACTATACATTAGTTAGTTATTTGAATTGATTTAAAGTAAAAAAAAAAAGTATTTATTTTATAACAAAAAATTATTACAAGAAGGAGAAACTATATTGAACTATACATTTAAAAATATTTTAAAATAAAATATAAAAAAAAATACATAAATGCAGATTAACTACAGTAGTGGGATTGTTCTGTATTTAATTTTTTTCCCTGTATGTTGTCTTCTGGCAGGCTGTCGCTCACTAAAGGAAGTCAACAGATCCCATCTGAGAAGATCTGAACTCATTTCAAGGATCTAATGAGCAGAACTGTTGCATGCTGGGAGATTTCATGTGTGCCAGTGACTGGACCGACTTGTGTAATTCAAATGAACCCAGAGGATTTGGGCACGACAGATTTAGCATCATGAATAAAACATTTGTGTAAGTCATTCGTGTAAAAGTTTGAATAAATGCATGAAAAGTGTGTGGTTTGTACAGCCGTACCGTGCCTGACAGCAGTAATCCTTCCTGTTTACTGGAAGCAGGCAATGTTTAGTTTTGTGACTCTTCCAGTTTTCTTCACTGTCCGGACACTGGGAACAAAACGAAGAGGATATTTAAAGGCATATTATATCTAAACACGAACCAGGGTTATTATACTAAAAACTAAAACTTTAACTAAAAACATTAAAAAAAAACATTTTTGTTGCTTGAAATAAAATATTGAAAAACCTTAAACTTTATTATTGGAAAATATCATAAAAAAAAAAGAATATAGTAGCTCATTTCCATGACTGGATTAAAACAAAACATACATACATAAATAAATAAACGTTTTAAAAAAGAAAACTAATAAAAATGACAAAAACACAACAAAATTACTAGAACATTAACTAAAATGAAAATGGATAATATAAAATGTGGACGCTCATTTCCGCAACAGGACTAAATAAATAAATACATATTTAGATGTGTGAGATTTAAATTCAGAATTGCAATTCTGAGAAGAAAATTCTGAATTGTGAAACAGAAGATCTCAATTGCGAGGAAAAGGTCAGAACTGCGAGATAAAAAGTCAGTTACTTTAAAAAAAAAAATATATATATATATATTCCATGGTGGGAAAAAAAAACTTTTTTTTTTAAATCTGTAATTTCATAATTGTGAGGAAAAAACTAAAACTTTTTCCTCATAATAAAATTGTGTATTTTTTTATCCTGTGGCGGAAAAAGGCTTCCATAAAAGAAAACCTAATTATTATTAAAACTATTATTAAAGACTTAAATAGCATATAACATGAACTCATTGTCATGTTGCAGCTGTTTTCCACACAAAGATGCATACGGTAATAAAAATGTGATTTTTGAGCGAGCTAACCATTTAATTAATGCCAGAGCATTTGTCACGCAGTAACATATTTCCACTAAAAGAAACAACCGTCAATAATCACTTCATGATTTATGTTAATGCACTTTTTCTTGCATGCACATGAAAACCAAAAAAAGATTTCCCCATATTGTACTTGTCATTTGCATTTCTCTCTTTGCTTACAGTGCTGTGAATGGCTTCACTGCAGCGAGTTTCTCATGAATATGCATTCTCCCTCCACGGGGCCCGAAAGGCAAACAGGTTTGTGAGAGGTTCAGAAAGGTCACACACAAGGCATGGGATTTCTTTACTAGCTCTTTCCATGGCTGAACCACAGGACCTGAATGAAGCCATTATATGCATTGACTCTCCGCAGGAAAACAAACTTTGTCAGGGTCTGTTCATTAGCACCAAACACTTTGTTTGAACCGCCTACTTGTGTGCAGGGGCCAGAAAGGGGAAGTGAGCTCCTGCTGAAATCAAACAAAACCTACACTTTATGAGAGGTTTTGCATTGTTTGCGTGCAACCTAGATACTTAGATGATAAACGTACAGTGGCTCCAAATGGTTTTGCATTAGATAATTTATAATCAATTGCATATGCATGCAAATGATGCAATATCTTGCTTTGCTGCTTTGTTATCCAATGCAATGTTATTTATAAATGTTTAAGTGTGACGTGTGCATCCAAAAGCATGCAAATGATGCCATTTTTGCATCTTGCTTTGATGCTTTGTTATTAAATGCAATGGTATTTAAACCATTTTTCCAAATACATTTTCATTAACGCATGCTGAAATCTGCAATAAATGAATTTCATCCCCAGGACTTGTTTTTCAATGCAAACATCTAAACATTCTTCAATCATGACACATTTACTTGAGAAGCAAAACTGCTTAAGATATTAAGTCTTGTTTTATGAAAAATATATCAAAATTGAGTTTTTGCTTTAAACAAGAACAAATATCTTCCTACGGAGTAAGAAGAAAAAAAACTTTCTTAGTCTCTTTGAATTAAGTGTCTCTTTCTGACCCCATTGGCAGATGTTTTTCTTGTTTTAGGCATAAACTCGCTTCATTTTGATAGTTTTTTTGGAAACAAGACTTAATATCTTAAGTCATTTTGCATCTCACGTACTTGTATCTTGATTTACGAATGTTTCGAACATTTATACAGCAAAAGTAGTCAAAAATACTGAGGGAAAAAATCTTTTTTTGCAGTGTTCACTTTTGATTCACTGAAAAACGCACATGCCTGTTGATCTTCAGCCGTCATATCACTAGTGCTGACGCAGCAGGTCACCAGTTATCTCAATATAACCTCGCCTGCAGGCCGCAGAAAAAGAGCTGCACTGAAGGATATCATTTTGAAACACTGTGTGGCCATGAAGAATCTGAGCGAAAAGCGCCCGCATCACACAGCTGTTATTCTAATTTGTTTGAGCGTTTGCAAATAGCACCGAGACCGCATCACCCATAAAAGTTAGCAGAGGTTTTGCTTAACAAGGTGCTTTTGTCTGACCAGAGCAGGGCACTTGTTCAAACACACAAACCAAAGCGAAGAAAACAAAAGTGGCTCATCGAGAGAGAGAAGGAACGTTCTCCTCTCATGTCACCAGCCCTGCATGCAGATACTCAGAATGGAATACTACTATTTTTGCAACAGTACTGTGGCAATAGAATGTCTAGACGAATTACTACATATGTAAAAATGTGCATTATACAACCAAAGCACGCTGTGTGTGAGATAATGCATCCCATAATGCAATTCACTCAACCTGGTCTTACATTTCCAGTGCAGTGTTGTTATTGTTGACTAAAACTATTAAAAGGTTTTGTTATTTTTTAAAAATTGAATTGAATAATCTGAAATAAAATATAAATATTAGATGAAATATAAAATATTATACAATATTATGCTATTAAATATTAAAATAACATACAAATCTGAAATATTAAAATAATGTTAATTCAAATTAAAACTATTCATTTTATTAACTATTATTTACTATTCATGTTCATTTGTTTTCTAATTGAAATAAAGCTGAAATAAAATAAAATATAAATATTAGACGAAATGTAAAATATTATAAAATATCAAAATAATACAAAATATTACAATTAAACAAATAAATCAAATAATGTAACACTATAAAATATTAAAATAAGTCAAACTACAATAATAATGTACAAATATAAACATATACTGTAAATATAAAAGTTTAACACTGAAATGTAACTGAAAATAGGTTTGTTGTATTTAAAACTGAAAAAAATAATAAAAGTATGCTTTTTTTAAAATAACAAATGCACATAATAACATCAGAAATACAATAACAAATGTAGATTCTACAGCGTATAATACTTTAGCTTCATTCATCGCACCAAAAGATAAACTGCAGTGCTTTACAGCTATAGGACAGGAAGAGCTAAATAAACTTATTACTGCATCTAAACCAACAACATGCCTGTTAGATCCTGTACCCACTAAATTACTGAAAGAGTTGTTACCTGTAGCAGAAGAACCGCTTCTCAATATTATTAACTCGTCGTTGTCTTTAGGTCACGTCCCAAAACCATTCAAGCTGGCGGTCATTAAGCCTCTTATTAAGAAACCACAACTAGATCCTAGTGAACTGGCTAATTACAGACCCATCTCAAATCTTCCTTTTATGTCTAAAATTTTAGAAAAAGTTGTGTCTGCTCAATTGTGCTCCTTCCTGCAAAAAAATGATCTCTATGAAGAATTTCAGTCAGGCTTCAGGCCCCACCATAGCACAGAAACTGCACTTGTTAAAAACTTGCGTCAGACCAAGGCTGTGTCTCATTGCTAGTTTTACTTGACCTTAGTGCTGCATTCGATACTATAGATCATGACATACTCATAGATCGATTACAAAACTATACAGGTATCCAAGGGCAGGCTTTAAGATGGTTTAGATCCTACCTGTCCGATCGCTACCACATTGTTCATTTAAATGGGGAGTCATCTCAAATATCACCAGTAAAATATGGAGTGCCACAAGGATCTGTCCTAGGTCCTCTGCTATTTTCGATATACATGTTGCCACTTGGTAATATTATTAGGAAATACGGGATTAGTTTCCACTGTTATGCCGATGATACTCAACTATATATCTCAACAAGACCAGATGAAACTTCTAAATTATCTAAGCTAACAGAGTGTGTTAAAAATGTAAAAGATTGGATGACCAATAATTTTATCCTATTAAATTCGGATAAGACAGAGATATTACTTATTGGACCAAAAGACAGTACGCCGAATCTCGTGGATTACAATGTGCAACTAGACGGATGCACGGGTGCTATATAAATAAAGGTGACTTGACTTGACTTGACATAACAAAATTGCTAAAACTATCATTAAAATAAAAACTGAAAATACATAAACAAAACCCATTTCAAAATATTAAGGAATACTATAATGGTACATAAATAATAATAACATTAGTACTGTGTGATGAATAAACCGTAAGTGATATCAGCTCAAAGATATTTTATTTAAAATATTTAACTACAGAAACAAAATTAATATAAGCATATAAATGTGACCCTGGACCACAAAACCAGTCATAAGGGTCAATTTTTCAAATTTAGATTTATACATCATCTGAAAGCTGAATAAATAAGCTTTCCATTGATGTATGGTTTGTTAGGACAATATTTGGCCGAGATACAACTATTTGAAAATCTGGAATCTGAGGGTGCAAAAACATCAAAATATTGAGAAAATCATCTTTAAAGTTGTCCAAATGAAGTTCTTAGCAATGCATATTACTAATCAAACATTAAGTTGTAATGTGTATTTATGGTAGACAATTTACAAAATATCTTCATGGAACATGATCTTTACTTAATATCCTAATGATTTTTGACATAAAAGAAAAATCTATAATTTTGACCCATACAATGTATTTTTGTCTATTGCTACAAATATACCACAGCGATTTAAGAGTGCCTTTGTGCTCCAGAGTCACAAATAATAATGTGATATGTTTCACCCAGATTATTCTATGACGTATAAATATTTTCATTTCATATTTAGTGGTAAATCATTACATTTACTAGTTACGGATTTGAACAAACCCCTAATTGCAAGTATTAAACTTCACAATCACTTGCGCTTGTGAAATAAGGCCTCAGTACAGTGTGTATCTCAGCTCTTTGGATTTGTGGAGCTGTGATCTGGCAGGCAAACGCATGTCTGTTTCTGAAATACAGTGTCTGGCCGCAGCTTTAGCTTGGGTTTGTGCGCGCTGAAGTCAGTGTGGGACAGGGTGTGTCCCGCTGAAGCTGCGCTCGCTGTGACACAGCAGAGATCTGCACCTGTGTGTCTAGACAGAGACTCGCTCTCCTGGACCACAGCCCGGCGCTTCTCTGAGGACAGAATAAGAGATTGCTTATTTCTCACGAGTTTTCACATATGATTTAATTCCTCCTTGCTACAAGAGAACATAAATCATGGATAAAGTGACTATAAGAAATGCTGAGAGCATAACTCACTAGAGTGGTGGTTGCCTGTGTAAAACTCGCTGAGTGCTGCGAGTGGTTGCCAAGGTGTTGCTATGCAGTTGCTAGGGTGTTCCAGGAATTGCTTGCCCGTGCAAAACTCGCCAACTTGATTCTATGGTGTTCTATACGTTCTTAGGGTGTTGCTATGGTGTTGCTAAGCTGTTGCTAGGGTGTTCTGGGTAGTTACTTTGTGTTTGTCAACGCAAAACTCATCACCATGTTAAAGTGTTACTATGTGGTTGCTATGGTGTTCTGTATTTTCATAGGTGTTGCTATGTGGTTGCTATGGTGTTCCATGCATTCTTAGGGTGTTGCTATGTGGATGATAGTTTTCTATGCATTCAGGGTGCTTCTATATGGTTGCTAGGGTGTTTTGGGTAGTTACCATGGTGTATTAGTCCATTCAAAACTCACCACTATGATGCTAGGGTGTTGCTATGTGGTTGCTATGGTTTTCTATGCATTCTTAAGGTGTTGCTATGTGGTTGCTATAGTTTTCTATGCATTCTTAGGGTGTTGCTATGTGGTTGCTATGGTTTTCTATGCATTCTTAATGTGTTGCTATGTGGTTGCTATGGTTTTCTATGCATGGTTTTCTATGCAGTTGAGTTCTGGGTAGTTACCAGAGCATGTTTGTCCATGCAAAACTTGTCACCATGTTAGGGTGTTTCTACGTGGTTGCTATGGTGTTTTATTTGTTCTTATGGTGTTGCTATGTGGTTTCTATGCATTCTTAGGGTGTCGCTATGTAGTTGCTTGGGTGTTCTGGGATGTTACCAGGGTGTGTGTGTCCATGCAAAACTCTTCACCATGTTAGGGTGTCACTATGTGGTTGCTATGGTGTTCTTTGTTTCATGGGTGTTGCTATGTGGTTGCTATGGTGTTCTATGTGTTCATACTGCATTGCTATGTAGTTGCCAGGGATTTCTGGGTAGTTACCAGGGCGTGTTTGTCCATACAATACTCACCACTATGATGCTAGGGTGTTGCTATATGGTTGCTATGGTGTTCTATGTGTTCTTAGAGCATTGCTGTGTGGTTGCTA